AGGATATATATTATATATTCATTAGGATATAGGATATATATATATATATTCATTAGGATATAGGATTTATATTATATATTCATTAGGGTATAGTATATGTATAGTATATTCATTAGGATATAGGATATATATAGTATATTCATTAGGATATAGGATATATATTATATATTTATTAGGATATAGGATATATATTATATATTCATTAGGATATAGGATATGTATAGTATATTCATTAGGATATAGGATATATATAATATATTCATTAGGATATATGATGTATATTATATATTTATTAGGATATAGGATATATATATATATTCATTAGGATATAGGATATATATTATATATTCATTAGGATAAAGGATATATATAATATATTCATTAGGATATAAGATATATATAATATATATATAGGATATATATTATATATATCTCAGCTGATATAGGATATATATATATATATAGCCACAGACTCAAATCTGCATAGTAAACTGTGATTGCTTATTTGTAATATCTCATGCTTAGTAGTTGAATAGAAATATGAAAATATGAAATATGAGTATAACCTTACAACCTGAGGCCGAATTTAAAGAATTTGAGCCGCGTCTTAAATTTAAGCCGCGGCTCAAATATGGTTGGTTCTACTTAAAATTGTATTAAATTTTTCAAGATTTAACCCGGCGCTCAATTGAAACCGGTTTTTGGCAGATTTAAGCCGCGGCTCAAATTCATCAAATTCGGACACTGATAGTGTAAAGTTTTATATTTCAAAATTGATCTAACATAAATGTTAATGGTCTATGGCATCGGGTTGCAAAGATATGGGGATTTAAAAAGTGAATATGGACTCAATAACTTCTTAACCAGAGCTTCTTATTTGCCATCTATGATTTTCACTATTTGTGGAATGCTCTAGATTTGTTTTGTTTGCAATATTTTAAACACCTCATTGAATTCAATCAAAATGTGGAACTGAAAGTGGATCTGAATAGAAAGAAAAACTAAGCATTCAGGCATTAAGCAAAAAGAAATATGGGTATTTTATAAATAACTAAAAAAAAATTTCTCTGATCGACTGTACTTGATGAAAAAAGTTGAAAAGGAAAACTGGAACCAGTGAGCCAAAAAAGATTGCATGATTTTTACGTAAAAACAATGAAGCTTTTCTGATTGCTTCTTTAAAATTAAAGCTAAAACCAAGTGCTTTGCAGTTCTAAAATATACATGACTTGGGCTACAAAAGTCATAAGCGATGTAAAATCAAAAACCAATGCGTTGCAACACTTCAAAGTCGACCAAATCTTGAAAATTGATGCAACTTCTCAAAGCATCCTGGATTAATATGCGCAGGGAGTCGGACGTGGTTCAACCACTTGACTTGATTATATACTGGCTCAAGGTAAAGAGACATGCCTAAACTACGTCTACGCGGTTCAACTATGTCTTAACTATTTATAAAATCTGATCCCTGTAAAACTGGTAATTTTTACCATCTTAATTTTTCTTTTATAGGATTGACGAGGGCAGCGATGTAGCTGAGACTAGTTCTGTATCCAGACAGTTTAATAACGATCCTCTAGTTAATCTTGCAGGATATTTTGGATGGGGATTAGTTGCAGGATTTGGAGATTATATTCTCAGGTACAGATATACAGAAACATACAAGAGCGCATAAAATGTCGTCTTGAAATTTATTCAAAAGTTTATGGTAGATGTTCTGCTCTGCACATGAAGAAAGCTGTTCAGAGCTGGGAACTTTAGAATGGTGGATATCAGGATTATTGCTTAATCCTCTGTTTTTGCTAATCTCGAGACTAACATAATCTCAAGATTATGTTAGTCATGAGATTAAATATTTAAATCAACAGATTGGATTCTAAGAATGCCAGTTTGGTTCGTTTTCTTGACTCAACATTAGTTAAAATTGGTTACAAAAGAATCTCAAACCTGTTTTTTCTTCACCGATTAATTTACAAAATGGCCGACAACAAATTCTTTATTTGTTAGAAATTGCGGATTTCTCTCATGGGATAGAATTTATTTTCAAGGCTGTCATTGGTCATACAATTCGCGAACTATATTCCTGCACTCTCATTGGAGAAAATAATGTACGGATATCCAAAGAGAGAGAAAAATAGTGGATTAAGGACTAAGATTAAAAGTTTCCACAGTGGATATTCGGATTAAGTAGTTGGGATTAAAGGTTATATCCATTCTAAAGTTCCCAACTCAGATGTCCTCAGCTTCAAAGGTCGCGGTGGACTAAGATAAATATCCTTGTTGACAATGATCAGTTTTTGATAATTCCTCAGAAACTACTTTTAATTTTATCTTAAAGCAAACTACGCCTTGAAAAACGCAGGACAGCAATTAATATTTTAAACTCGTGCTTTATGCAGCATTTGATCCTAAATAGGAGAGAGTACGACATTATAAAAAACTCTTGCTATGTATATCTATGTATCTGGGATGTACTGTGCATTTTTAGACAACGGCGCAACAAAAAACGTTGATGTACATGCCTTTTGATCTAGAGCAAAAGAAAATAATAAAGACCTTGATAATAAACTGGCAAAAGATTTATTGATATATCCTTTTATTTGTCTGCTTGAGCTTGTGCCCACACCCCTTAACCAAAATAATTTATTTTAGAAATGTAATCCAAGGATTTGTTGGAACTAACACAACAACAACAACAACAACAACAACAACAACAACAACAACAACAACAACAACAACTACAACTACAACAACAACTACTCCCGCAACAACAACAACAATTATTCCAAGGTGATTTTTAAGCTAGATATAGAATCTATATATTTGCTCTTAAAATTCTCTAGATACTGAGTACCATCTGCACTTAAAATTTTCTTTTTAAAAATATCTTTTGCAATAACTTCAGCAACAAAGAATGCAAAATATTTTACCATAATGAGCAAGAAAAAACAAGCAAGAATAATTTTAGATGGAGGAACAAGAACAAGAAAAACAAGAACATGTGGAACATAAACAAGAAAAATGCTAAGAAAAATAATCTGATAAAATTAATACAGGTAAAGTTTAAAACTTTAAATCATTTTCATGTTCATATCCGTCATTAAAACATCGAATTTACATTATTGAATATTAATATCTAACTCAATGAAATTTTAGGAGAAAATTCTAAACTTTATATTATTGAGAAGTGCTATTCTTTTTTTTTAAATGTTATAACTGATGTCCATTTATAAAACTTAGAACTACATTTCCAACATAATACAATGTTTATATTTAGAACATTGATGAGATGGACACTGTTTTAAAGGCAATCCAGGCTGTGGAGACACTTGTTTCTCTTAACACTGAAGATTCAAATACTGCTTCAGAACTAGGAGAGCTAAAGAATGTTGATTACACTAACACAGAGACTGCTGTAGAAAAGTTTAAGACTACTGAAGATGATGTTAAGACTGCAAAGTTTAAGACTACTGAAGAGGATTTTAAGACTGCAAAGTTTAAGACTACTGAAGAGGATTTTAAGACTGCAAAGTTTAAGACTAACGAAGATGATGTTAAGACTGCTGTAGAAAAGTTTAATTTCTCTTAACACTGAAGATTCAAATACTGCTTCAGAACTAGGAGAGCTAAAGAATGTTGATTACACTAACACAGAGACTGCTGTAGAATTGTTTAAGACTAACGAAGAGGATGTTAAGACTGCAAAGTTTAAGACTAACGAAGGGGATGTTAATACTGCTATAGAAAAGTTTAAGACTACTGAAGAGGATGTTAAGACTGCAAAGTTTAAGACTAACGAATGGGATGTTAAGACTGCTGTAGAAAAGTTGAAGACTGCCGAAGAGGATGTTAATTCTAGAAATATTTAATTTTCATATATATTTGTATTCTTTTTTGGCAACTAAGAATTTTTCAATTAATTTTTTGTCAGTATATAATTTTGGAAAACATTATTTATGATGCAGTGAGAACCAGAAAACTGTGTAATAGGAAGACGACATTGATGCAATTGTTAAGTGTATTTAATGTTGTTACGAAGCAAATAGTTTTACTGTAACTTATTTAATCACTTATTAAGTAAAATGGGTAATTTACACCCTCCACATTTGCTCTGTCTCATGATCAACGGACAAGTCATGACTTAAGTCTAAAAGTCGTCTTTCTATTTCAGAATTTTCTAGTTTTCACTGATATGTTTGTATAGTTCGGTAAACTAGAGGAATTCTTGATAACTAAATATAATTTTTTTTCATAAATTTATATTTTAAAAATCACGATATTATTTAACAAAATCTGCCTAAACAATAATGTGGATTCTTTAGAGTTTTAATGGTTTAAAAATCTAATATTTGTACATTTTGCACATTTTCAAAACGTTTTCAAACTCTAACAAAGAATAGAATATTGTAATTACTTTAAACCAAATGCAAGATGCAAATGTTGATATTAACTAATTTTGTGAAAAATGACAAACGTTATATTTAAATAAATGTCTAAAGATTATTATGTTAATTATAATTATTAATTCTATTTTTTTGAAACTATCGGTGGTTTCGGGTCAGAAATATTTCACGTTCATACAAAAAGAGAAATCATTAAAATTTAATGATTTAAATAAATTTTATGAATGAACTTTACTTGTTGCTTAGACGTCATTTCTGCAGGTTCAAATTTATCAGCAGTAGAACACAGTAAAAATGTTGTCTTACTTTAAGTTTTCATTTTGACTTACCTCTGGTTTGTTTTTGTATAATTCATGTTGAACATTTTTTTGGAAGTCGACAATTGTTGCCCAATTTTGCTGTTTCATATTTTAAATGATGGACAAAAAAAGTCCTTAAAAATTATTTCATTTTTTGCAGAAGAAAACAAAATGACTACAGTTGCAAGGAATCATGAATAAAAGGAAACAGACAGTATAAATTCCGTACAATCGTCTTTGACGTATCATCCTTTGAGGATACCCTGTATTTCAGAAAGAGACGCTAGATAATGAAATAATTAAAAACAAAATGATTCTTTTAAATTTCCTATAACAATGATCATTAAGTGTATACCCTTAACATTGGGAATCAACTTGGCTTATTAATGATGCTTATTTTTCCAAAATTCGATTATTTTAAACGTCGTCTTCTTACTTTCTGATTGACCTAAAACTTGCCTAAAGACGACATTTGCAAAAACGTGGCTCCGAAATACGGTGGTCACCTTAAAATGGTGGTCACAGTGTTGTCTTTTTATTTTTTTTTCAATGATGAAATAACACCAATGATTATTTTTAGTAACCCATGGTTTCCAATGTTTTTTTTGCACGAATACTTGTGGAGTTAGACCAAAATCCCGTTCGAGTGAAACTTTTATGCTTTTGCAAAACTTAAAATATGACTCTCATGGTTTTATGTTATATACAGTGTGTCCCACGAAACTTGACATTTGATAAATAGTTATGAATTTCGTCTTCCATATATTAAATGCTTTTTGCATGTTATTTCGTTAAAAAAATCTTTCACTTAAACATATTTCGCTTGAAACTTAAATTCAGACTATTTCATGAATATCATTTATAAACCGGACTTAATAATAAAACCACTCTTGAAGCTGTTTTATGCTTTTGCAAAACTATGGTTTTATGTTATATACTGTGTGTCCCACGAAACATGACAGTTGATAAATAGTTATGAAGGTTGTCTTCCATATATTAAAGGCTTTTTGCATGTTATTTCGTTAAAAAAACCTTTCCCTTAAATATATTTCGCCTTGAACTCAATTTTACTAAAACATGACTCCCATATAATATTTTTACTATTTTCTTTGGTATCAAACAACTTAAAAAATTATGTAAGAAGACATTCATAAACTATTCAGCAACTGTCATGTTTCGTGGGACACTCTGCATCAAAACTCTTAATACCTCATTTATCTATTTCTCTAAGTGTAGAAATGTATTTTTAGTAACTTCAGTAAATGAAATTGCAATTATTTTCTTTTTAAACTACTAATTGATTCTAGTATTCAATTACTACAGCGCATTTCTTTACAGAGAAATGATACAAGTGAAAGCATTTAATTGGACTCAATCTTTTCTTTTAAAGAATAATATATATTTTTAATCTAAAGCAGAAACCTCAAGGTTGTAAAATGTACATTTTACATTGCGTTGGAGACTCGAAATTTCCCTGCATTGGAGCGCATCGAGACTCGAGAGTAAGCAATCTATACAGGATATCACACGACACGTGCCATGTGGCAAGACGACTTGACACTCGATTTTCTTGGAAATTGTTTTTGTCTTTGTCGTCAACCTACGTCTTGAAACAATTCTTCTAGTCTAAGCAATTCCAAAATGTGGTCTGCCTTTTTTGTGCTGTCAAGTTTACCGGATATATTAAGAATTTTGTTCAGATTTCAATTCCGTCAAAAAAACTATGACTTTTCCAAATCTCGGGTAATATTTTTACTTTTAAAATAAGGTTGACTAATGATTACATAAAATTGTATTAACAATCAAAGACGATCTTTAAATCACCTTTTAATGTCATGTTTCGTGGGACATGCTGTATATAACAACCTTGGGTAACCTGTATAAATAAGTACTAAGTAACAATGATGAAGATCAATCGATATTGTGGGTTTTATTTCATTGTGCTATAAAGTTAAATTAGCTGTACATTGTAGCACGTGTGCTATACAATTTTGATTGGTTTCCGGATTTCCTCCAACAAATTTAGGATTTTTTCAAAATATTTTTTTTTTCAATTAATATGAAAATAAAACTAATTTCAACTTTATTTTTTTACTTCCGGTAAGTTTCACAGCTTATTTGATCTATAATAGAAATTGCCATTGAAAATGCTTGAACCTTCTCAATAAAGAGAAAATTTCTGTCCATAACACTACGAACCAAAGTAACAGTGTTATACATAGTTTGTCTGCATGTACTAGGCATTGTTGTAGAGAACCCTATTTAAAATGATTAGATATGTAAAAGGATATCTCCATCAAGGAATGTAGTTGCAATACATGTTTTTAGTACTTTTAATTAAAACACCATAATCAAAAAAATTTAAACCGTTTTTTTAAAGGTTTAGTTGCTACTGAAGGATACAAAAAATGGCAAAAAATTATCATAAAAATGTTATTTTATTAATGATTCAAGGGATTTTCATAAATAAAAGTTATGGGCTATTTTGGCCTTTCTGTACTCTACCTTATGCAAGACATAATCCTTTAAAATATTGTCAAAAAGACAAAAGTGTTAAGAAAAACATTAGAGTTCATAGGCCACAAAAACTTGAGGGAAAGGGGGGGATTTCTTTAAAGGGCATCGTTTGAAAATAAAAATTAAACATTTGTAATGGCATAACTTGAAACAATTATGCTCCTATCTTCCTTTGCTTGTTCTGAGTCCTAACACGGACAGAGTTTTACTTTAAAATGAAATCTAGAAAATTTTCCACGAATTTAATTCCTGAAGAAGTTTACTTGAAGTTCCTCGGTTACCCTGAAGCAGTGTATATTCAAGCTAGACACCTAGGCAGGGTTCTAGATCCCTGGGTTTAAAGGTTCAGTGGAAAATTCCCAAGGAAATTTCTGAACGCGGCAGTGGATCGTTGTATCTATCCTCACTAATCTTATGAATACATAAATAAACTTTAACTGTGCGGTAAATATGTAACATGATTGTCTTAATCATGTGATATAGAGAATGATGTAGGAATTGTAATTACGTCAATTCATGTTAGCTTGCAACATACAATATTTAAATAAAGTTAGTTTATGTGCTGTTTACTACAAGAAGGTAATCATTCCTGTCTTGATAAAACAGGTTGGATCATCCCCTTTCATTTGGAATTCATATGTAGCTTGTTAAACAGCCAGGCTTGTGTCCCTGTGTGGCATTTAGAGCACTGGATAATCCACATCATTTGGGATCAATATATAGCTTGTTTGATAGCTAGGCTTGGGTCCCTGCGTGGCATTCACTGGATTGTCCCCATAATTTGAGATCGATAGATAGCTTGTTTGATAGCTAGGGTTGTGTCCTTTTGTGGCATTTAGAGCACTGTATGGTCCCCATCAATCGGAATCAATGTAAAGCTTGTTGATTAGCTACCCTTGTGTCCCTGTGTGGCATTTAGAGCCTGAATAATATCTTGTTGGATAGTTACGCTTGTGTCCCTGTGTGGCATTTAGAGCCTTAGTAATATCTTGTGGGATAGTTACGCTTGAGTCCATGTGTGGCATTTAGTGCCTGGATTAATAGCTTGGTTTGATAGCTACAGAGGCATTGGCGTTGATAGTTTGCGGGATTGTAACAGTGTGGATCATGTCTTGATTGACTTTGATATTGGACGGGTTGTATCTGGATAGATATGTTTAGAGAACTTGTTATGGAGTAGGTGTTTACTTCAAAAGTGGTGGCAGTGGCATGACTCAAGGAACTCTTGAGTAAATACCACAGACTCCAAGGAACAATGAAGGAACAAGTTGTGGACATGTGTGAACAGAGTATACCAATGGACACTGGACATTGTTTTAAATTGTACCCTAGAGGACACAGTGAAGAACCAGACATCAGAATACCAAACATGAAGGAAACTAGAAAAGTGAGTGGAAACCTTCAAAGTAAAGAATTGGAAGCCCTGAGGCAGCGATTGGAACAAGAAACTGGAAGCTATGCTGAAGAAATGTGAACAAGAATTAAGAAAAGAAAAAAGATTCAAAAAGTAAGATCAATGTTGGAGCAGAACAAGTAGATGGATGAATCACAACAACATATGGAAGATCTACAGAAAGTAGTGGAAGCAGGGGAGGCAAATGAGGATACATATGACGAGATGAAAGAGTACAAGATTTCATTAAAAGAGCTCCCAAATACGATAGAAATCCAGAGGCAATGTTCAAATGGTGCGAAAACTTGGAAACTCATTTGCTTAACAATGACTAGGAAACCATCCCAGATGAAAATATAAAAAGGATAATAGTGTCAGGTGTCAGGGGAGCAGCTGAAGAGAGATAATACCATTTTTTCAACTAGGAGCAGTATTTGAGCAATGTGAAGCAGGAGTATTCTTTGTAGAAATGATAAAAAGATTCTCACAACAAAAATATGATGATAGCAAAAGACAGGAATCCTTAGACAAGAAACAGGGAGGAGAGAAGAAGAGCAGAAGAGCTCAGGCAGACAAGATTATTATTATTAAAATTATTATTATTATTATTATGATACGAAAAAAATGTTTAATGACGGATGCATTTATGAAAGTTTTGATTTTGAACATTAAGATGAAAAATGCAGCATCGGCCATTTAGATTAACCCTGCACTTTTAGATTAATTTTACTTTTGCTAAAACAAAAAACATAATTATCATGAAAACGCGGGATAAATATTTTTTCAGCGATGTTGCATTTAAATCAGAAATAAAATTACTCACAGCCACATGTGTTAAATATATTTTTTTCCTTGTCTCAGCTACATAAATTTGCTAGAGGCAGTGCTATGTTGAACATTCTTGGATAGAAAAACTGAATATCTCCACCTAGAATTTTCTCAAACAAAAGAAAGGGTCATTTGAAATTACGCCGCCATTGAACAGATGATCCGAATTCCGAATAGGACCTTTTTTCAATTTTTTAAATAAACAGAAAGAGGTGCAATAAATGCATACTGGCAAGTTGCACCTTCATTTAACATTTTTTTTAGATGCAACATATCTGCCTTGCTTCATTTCGCAAATTTTAGACTAGATTTTTTATTTTACTTTTATACATATTATTTGACGTACTTTATGAATCATTTAAATACAAATTTAATTTGTTTTCACATCTTATCCGTTTCGTTCATTTTAGATAAAGCATTGATGATGGTTGAGAAATAGATATATTCATAATCAATTATGTTTATTTTGAATATATATATATATATATATATATTTATATATATTGTTCTATATTATAGTAATTATGCATTATAGTAATTATCGATAGAATAAAGGAAAAGATGGATATTTTTGAGCTAACTGTTCCATTAGAAACATATATCAAAAATGCCAACACTCAAAAAGATGAATAAGTATCAACATTTTATCACAGATATAACAACTAGGGGATGTGTCTGTTCATCCTTTGAAATCGGCTCAAGAGAATATATCTCACCATCAAATAAAGCAAATCTAAAGAAACTGCATAAGTTCTGCAAACCCAGTGTTAGTTTCAAAGCAAAAATCTATAAAGCCTTGCAGTGCTGTCATCATACCATATTTTTAGAGAACGAAAAACACTAGACTCATTTCTGAAAACCACCTCTGAATAACTAAACTATACTCATGCTAGAAGTCTTGTATTGCACCTGTTTTTTTTTTGACAAACCCTGTCAATCACAAGTTGCGATATCCAGAGAAAAGAGTATTTATAGTATTCAATTGTAAACTTTTTTATTGTTTAATGTAATTTTGCTTTAGACAAATATAAATGATGAATATATGGGTTAAATTATGAACAACCCCTCCCTCCCCATGTCTCGGCTGTCCGTTAGAAATATTTCCCGCGTTTTCCAAATATTGAAAATCTCCGGAATTATTTCATCATTTCCCGAACTGACCCAGCTAGGCGTGCGCAGGTGGGTGTTGAGATTTTAGTGGATTATTTCATCAGATAATTCTGCACATGCGCATTGGACGTAGTTAGACAAATAGCCAATGATATTGTTGATAGATAGATAGGTCACTTAGATGGATAGATAGATACGGTCTGCCCTATAAACTGTCCGATGTAGTTTTAAATATTCAGTTTCATCTAAACACTTACACCTCTAACAACCCTACAATGCATAGTTTCGCATTACAACAACCAGAGCCTGCAGTACTTCCTGTAATACTTGAGAAGTTAAGACTAACGGCAGTCATCTCATTAAGATTATTAGCACATATTTGTCTACTTTTAGCTGAGTTTCTTGACGAAGGTAGTTCCGAACCTGATCTAAAAGATACCAAACCTGAACATAATTTTGTTTTAGCCAGCTATCATGATTCGGCTGAGGAGCTTAAACAAGTTGATACCAATTATTTGGACAACATGGAGTATACTACCAGCTCTTTGGACACCCTGCAGTACACTTCCAATTCTTTGGACACCATGACATATACATCCCGTTCTTTGGAAATTGTATCTTCAAATTGTGAAGATCTGTGCAGGAACAGATGTGATAGTTTTAACAGCGTCGACTCCGGGACTGGAGAAGAACTTGAGCTTGAAATAGACTTGGAGACGGGACTGGAGATATTCTCCTTGGAGGACGTCGGAGCACACTGCTTCCCTTGGGACGCCTGGACCGTGGTGTATGACAAGGTGTATGACGTGACCGAGTACATGAAAAAACATCCTGGAGGGGAGGAGGTTATGCTGGAGTATGTTGGTTACGATGCTACGGTTGCATTCAGAGGGGTTGGACACTCCAGGGCAGCATTCAAGGTTTTAGACAAATACATTGTTGGTATTCTTCCTAAACATGAACGGATGAACTTGATATCTGAACATTAGACCATTCATTTCTGACTGTTCATTTCTTGATACTGACTACTGAAAATATCATATGCTGTACCTGAGTTAGTTGTTATTTTTGATAATTTATGTTGTCCGTTCTATTTATATCCTTTTAAATAATAAATATATTTTTGTTGAAATATTATTTTTTATTACATAACAGGAAAATATGAGAGAAAGCCAAGAAGACATTTGCTTGTCTTCAGTATAATTTTGTGGCAAGATTTTTCAGAATTTATATGAGAAGAATTTATTATGGGAAAGGGTTAGCCACACAGTATGAGACTGTAAAGACGACCCAAAACTCTATAAAATATGACGAGTTGAAGCTGGTTTATTGGTCTATGCATTAATATATAATTTTATGGTTTAATAGATTATTAAGCGCATAAATAAGTCAGTTTTGGCCCAAGGGAACCCTGAATGCAAGAAAACTAAACAAATTCCACTCGGAAATCTCATTCTTTGTGGGTAACTCTGTATAAAACCAAATACTGTGATTGTCGATATCTGTCTCTCTTTTAATAAAGCAAAGTTGAAATTTTTTAAATGTTGTAAAATTGTACAGAACACATTTTGAGAAAAAAAATAAGTTACAAATTACTATGAGCAATCTTTCTCACAATGCAAAGGAAGAAATCAGAGAACTATTATTATATTGTTTTTTGGTTGCCACTAAAAGATGTTCAACATTTTTATATGAAAAGTTTAACTTTTTATGATTGTGTGGTTTTCTATACTACAATCTTTTTTTCGTACAATTTGAGAATTTCCTGTTTTTATTGATTGATTTTCAAATATTTTCAAAAATTAATTTTTCCAAAATATTTTCCGGCAAAAGTTCAGCCGTTATGATGTTTATTGGATATTTAACAAACAAACCAAAAAGATATACTTCAGAGACAATCGCATAATTGTTTTTCAGTTGCTTATGAGTTGAAAATAAATGTAGATGACAGATTTTAACGAAATTCACCAGTTTTGATAATTAACTGTATAGAAGCAATAGATATCGTTGGGCCCAATTAATTTTTGGCAACTCGCTTACATGAGTCCTGCAGGAAAGATTATTTGAATTGTCGAAATTTGGCCTGTAAAAAACGTTGACTTACAAATTTTGAAAATTCACTTTGTTTAAACAAAAAGAACCACAAACAAATTTGAACAATAGAAAAAGCAAAAGTTAAAAACTAAAATTGTTATGATAGATTCGAAAAATAAAATTCAAACAATTTTAAACTGATTTATCGTAAAATGAAACAAAAATAGTTATCTATTTAAAAAACGATTTTAATTTTACCTTGTTGGCATTCTTTTAGCTAAATCCTATCCCGATTGGGCTATTTTTGTCAAAAAACGAGTTGTGTTCCTCCCCACCCCCTCTGCCGTATGATTTTGCGCATAGAGTTGAGATAGGAGAGTGTGATACATGTGTATAGTCCAAATGTTCAAGGCCTGCTTATTGAAAAAATAAGACCTAACTTTAATGGTTAGGGTGCGAGGGAAGCTTTTAAAAAAATTCAAAAGTCAGAACAATGTTGAAAAATACGAGTTTTCAGAGTTTGTAAAAAAAAAGTCTTGTAAAAATTGTTCTGAGGTGCACTTTTTCTTTTGAATAGATGAAATAAGAAAAATCCTAAAAAATTTTTAATTTTAGATTTTTATTTTTTATTTTTTCATAATATTTTTAATATAATGTGTTCTATGCAAATATAATAAAACCCTGATTTTCCGCCTTACTCAAACTGTTTATGGATGGCGTGGCATGTGCATGTGGAGGGAGAACAGACCCGATAAATCCAGAAATATCCTAGAAATCAGACATCATCAAATACAACAGATCGGACACAACATAAATACTTTAAAAATGCATCAAAAAGATAAAAACCCTCCATGTTTTGTAATGTGTACGTTTTAAAAGAGTTTATATATAACTATGTAAGTTATATTTTCAGTTTTTTTTTCTCACGGAAACATTCCAAAATTATGATAAAATATAATCTTCTGTTTTTCGTAATTAAAGAATTTGAGGTCGTCATTAAACTAGCATATACTGTTGATTATATTGCTGTCCCTTCTATGTTTATTCCTCTATCCCCTTATCTTATATAATATGCATACCATGTTTCTTCACTTCTTGTATCCAAGTTAATCCGGACTTTACAAGATATGTCTAGTTATTCACCAGTAACTATAGACCATAGATTAAATATAAAGACAAAGTACTCCAAACATAGATAAAATATATTATAGACAAAGTACTCCAAACACAGATTAGAAAGACTATAGACAAAGTACTTCAATCATAGATTAAATATCTAATTACTCCAATCATATGATAGATGTAATATAGAAAAAGTACACCAACTATAGATTAAATTTATCATAGACAAAGTGTAGCAAATACTTACTCCATAACAAATTATCTCGAGATGTATCTATCCAGGTCTACTTGTTACCAAGATCAACCAGGACTAACTTCTCAGATTCTAACGACCACTTAGGCAGTATCTCAACCAGGCTTAACTCCCAGGCTCTAAACGACACACAGTAAGGACACACAGTCCCATGAAATTGCTACACAGGCAATTTCTCAACTCATATTATTCAACTATCAAACAAGCTCTTCAGCGATTAATGCAAAACCAAAAAACACAATCTTATCAGCTCTGAAAGTCACACAGGGACACAAGCGTAGCTATCAAACAAGCTCTTATAAGCGATCAATGCCAAACCAATGGGCTCAATCTTATCAGCACTGAATGTCACAAAGGGACACAAGCGTAGCTATCAAACAAGCTCTTATAAGCGATCAATGTCAAACCAATGGGCACAATCTTATCAGCACTGAATGTCACACAGGGACACAAGCGTAGCTATCAAACAAGCTCTTATAAGTGATCAATGCCAAACCAATGGGCACAATCTTATCAGCACTGAATGTCACACAGGGACACAAGCGTGGCACACAATTTTAAGAATTTTCCGTAATATGTATTTGTTATGCTTAAGACAAAAATCGGGAGGCTTTTAGTTTTTGGTATGAATGCGACAGCTTCATGGGGCGGAACGTCATTTGTGTGTGTCTGTGCCAAAAGAGTGTATGTGTGTAATAAGGAACCAAATAGTGCTTTGTCGGTGTTTACACTACAGAAGAATCTCGGTATTTGTACAGTCTAGGGAGCACATTTGTTTATTGTTAATTGTTTACTTAAAAATAAGTTTAATACATGTAATTATTAATTATTATTTAAGTCAACGCTATAAGCCAAATTTGCATGCAAAGAATATAATTGATTAAAGTTTACAATAAACTACTCGTTATTCAAACTTAATTATAATTGACGACATTTTTCTGCAATTTCCTTGACTGTAGTCATGTTGTGTGTCTGTACCAAAAGAGTGTGCGTAAGGTTTACCGAACTTGTCTGGAAAGCAGTGCGACTGGTTTTCTCATGCCAGACCAGCGCCATTTCCTTTCCCTTTATTCCTATTGTCTGCTAACTATTAGAATCTCTTTCAGACTTGTATCAATTGCAGGTTCAACTCAATCACTCTTGCAGGTCTTTGAGGCATAAGAACTAATCAGTTCCACAATACTTTAATATCAATGTCAATCTGGACACAACTTTATCTGTATTCTTTGGTATATTATCGTACCAGACACTCAATCCCTCTTGCTATGATCGGCGAGGCATAAGAACTAATCAGTTCCACAATACTTTAATATCGATGTCAATTGAGACATAACTTTATCTGTATTCTTTGGCATATGATTGTACTAGATACTCAATCCTCTATGATCAGCAAGGCATAATGACCAGCGCCATTTCCCTTCCCATTCTTGTTCCCTGGATTGCCTGGATCTGTTTTGTAAAACCAAAGGCAAGCACAATGAACAGATAGATAGATATACATACATAGATATACATAGATATAGATATCACCGTAAAATTTTGTGAATTTTAGTTAATAGTAATTTAAAGAATTTTTTATTAAAAAAATATTTCGTTTTAATTTATAGGGTAGGGTACAATGCGGAAAAAAGTCCGGTCTGTGAAAAAAATCTAAAATAGTCTATTATTTTTTTTGTGACTAAAGCTACAGATCTTAAAACTATATTTTTGAAAAGCCCTTGAAAACTGCATGTAGAAACATGTGACACAATTTGATATTTGTTTAAAACAAAAAATATATTCTTTTTTCAATTTTTTTACCCATTTAGGCATTTGTTTTCCACCCTCCCTAGCACCCAAACTATTTAAGTTATCGGTCTATTTTTTTTTTCTTGAGCTGGCCATGAAAAATTCGGCTATGAACATGCATTTCAACCTATACCTATTCTCTAAGGCCTTATTCTAGGGAGGCGCCAAACGCCACCCCCCCACTCNCTGTAATTTTCTTGTTTTACTATTAATTCCAATTACACAATTTTTCCTCTCTAACCATTAAAGGCTGTTTTGACTGAGAGGCCCTTTTTGCATGCAGCGATACATACATGTTAAATTTAAATAAAAAACAAAACAATTTAGAAGTACAGGAAAGCAAAAAGAGGTGGAGGAGAAGGAAATGGAGTAGATAGAGGAAAAGGTATATATATAGAAGGAAAACAAAGAGAGATAGAGGAGAAGGAAAATGAGCGGATAGAGGAAAAGGTATATATATAAAAGGAAAGTAAAGAGAAGTGGAGGAGAAGGAAAAGGAGAAAGGTAGATAGAGGAAAAGGTATTTATATAAAAGGAAAGCAAAGAGAGAAAGAGTAGAAGGAAAAGGAGTAGATAGAGGAAAATGTATATATATAAAAGGAAAGCAAAGAGAGGTGGAGGAGAAGGAAAAGGAGAAGATAGCGGAAAAGGTATATATATATAAAAGGAAAGCAAAGATAGATGGAGGAGAAGGAAAAGGAGTAGATAGAGGAAAAGGTATATATATATATAGAAGGAAAGCAAAGAGGGGTGGAGGAGAAGTAAAAGGAGTAGATAGATGAAAAGGTATATATATATATAGAAGGCAAGCAAAGAGGGGGGGAGAAGAAGGAAAAGGAGTAGATAGATGACAAGGTATATATATATAGAAGGAAAGAAAAGAGGGGTGGAGGAGCAGGAAAAGGAGTAGATAGAGGAAAAGGTATATATGTATAGAAGG